TTTTTCCAGAAGTCGCCGAATCCTTTTTGGCAGCCTGCGGTTCATCCGAGTGCGTGCTGGTTTTTTTGGGACGAACGTCGCGTCAGTCTCGTGAACTTTCTGGACAATGTTCCTATATAGTTCTTCCACCGGAGCTGGTCTCAGTGTGACTTGTTCAAGGAAGATCCGCATTCCTGAGAAGTCTGCACGGCAGAAGTCTCGAAACCACTTTTGGGCTTTGGGATTTCTGGCCCAATAGCGGATGAAATCAAAGTTCAGCACACAGTGGTCGCTACGTCCCGGTTGAGCGTTATTTGTTACCTGATCAACGAAGCTTCTTTCGTTGGTGATGACCAAATCCAGGAGGGATGGTAGTTGGCCTGCGCGGTATCTGGTGGGTGCAGACATGTTGGGTCCAAGCACTCTGTTAAACGTTTTCAAACAGCTGCAAAGTCAGCCTGATTCGACGCGCTGGGGCTCAATCCAGGAGGCCTTTGGGAAGTTGAAGCCACCTACCAGAAGAAGAGTGAATTAGTGGTTTGGAGGATAGTGGCTCCAGTGTTTGTATGAGGAATTGGCCATCTTCAGGTTGACTCGAGGGTCTACGGTAAGCCACACCGAGAAGCAGATAATGGGACCCGCGCAGCGGGATTTGGACACAGTGCATCGCAAAAGGGTGCAGGGGTGGTGTCAGCGAGGACAATCCATCCGTGAATCCCTGAATGTAAGTACAGATCAACCCCACCAGCCCTTCCTCGTTTTGGGTCTTAAAAAGCTTTCCATATTCTTGCAGTTTCAACCCCACCAGCCCTTCCTCGTTTTGGGTCTTAAAAAGCTTTCCATATTTATTCTTGCAGTTTTTCATCTTAAATATGTGGTGCAGGCCCGTTCCTTCCGCTTTCTTTTAGGAAGTGCCCGAGTCCTTGTTCTTTGACATCCTACAGATCAACTGCAGTGATTCGCCTATTAGACAACCAATCAAAATGTAAAGTTTTTCCTCATCTGTCTGCTTTGACGTTGAGTCCATTGCTTCACCGTCGTCATGGGTTCAAGCGCATCAAGAACCTTGGATCAGGCGGAAGTTGAGGAAATAGCGCAAGAAACTGGTTGTACGTGTCATGCTCCAAGTGCTTTTAATCTATTATAGTTTCTTCAAAACAGATATACCGATTATACAATCGCTTTGCTGCTTTGGATAAGACAAACGTTGGATATCTTAGGTAAGCTAACTCACTGGGCTCCATTGTACGAAACCGCACGTTTGACCGCCGCTGCTATTTTCATAGGACGTTTTTTGGCACATTCAAGGTGGTCGTTTAGTCAGATCTGTTCCTCCACAACTCCCATACGCCCATTTGCCGAAAACACAGTTTCCCTAATAAATCTTCAAGATGAGTTTTCAACTATAAAGTCAGAACGCAGCGTAGTGGAATGCGTTTTTGTACTCCGACGTTTCGGTTGCCTTGGGCGACCTCAAGTATTTCTGCTATCAACTGAATACGAGTCAACTACAGCGACATTTGGGTCCGCTACCGTGCCTTGTGATTGGTGCATCCCTGTGATCAGTTGGCAGTGTTTTGACTTTATAATTAGAAAACTCCTTACTATGCACCACATGGCGCTGATTATTTTTCACACTCTTCGAGATGATTTCAGCGCAGAATTCCTAAACTCTTCAAGTTATTTTTGAAAAGTGGGCTTCCATCAGTCGAGCACGTCCTGTGACCTGCCTGCACACGGATATTCCGTTCCATTCCATTAATCTCAGACGTGATTTTCTGGACTCCGATGCTTATCACCGTTCTCCTCGTCGGCGATGCTGTTTTTCCTGATCAACCGAATTAAAAATTTTTGGCTGCAAGACCTGCGAGCCAAGAACTACAGACCAGACGAGAATTCCAACGCATAAGTACCAGATCATTGCTTGTCCAGGCGTTGGGCTGCCGGTCCCTTCCTTCATCTGCGTCATAATCATTGATCGTTACTTTGGAGAGTTACTCTACACTCGCACCAATCCTGTTGACCACTACGAGATTACGAGCTCTCCACAAGCAACAGCCATAGCTATGGCATGAGCGACTCGAAAAATGCGTTGAAGGCGTTCATTTGACCGAAAAGGCTTACGGTATCCATCTAGGTGGCGGGATGGCTCAAGTGGTTAGAGCGCTGATTTACTGACCGGAATGTCCTTGGTGCGAACCCGACCTGTGAACCTCGACTTCCCCAGTCTAGGCTTGGGCAGCCTGGCAGTATCCCAGTCCTCGTGCTTTCTTTGGGTGGTATGGCAACTAGGCACCGGGTGTGTTTCACTGCTGACCGATTTATTTTGTTATTCTATCATCCTTTGAAGAAAAACGTATGCGACCTGATGATCACACCCAGTTTCCGGCAGTTTTCAATGTGCTGATCTTGAGCGGTCATCTTGTCGTGATGTCCCCGCTTCTGTGGTTCAATGATCCTGCGGGCTATGCTGGCTGTAACCCAGTTCCTAAAGGTTCAGCCATGCCAGGAAGGCCAACGTGGAGCAGCCCAACAAAAGGTAGTGAGTTCCCGTACCCCGAGTAATCATTCTACGAGGCAGTCTTGAGGTGACGTACTGTATTATGCGATAGGGGGTGAAGGCAGTAAGCGTTTCCCCTATGTAACTAGCACGTCCATATTTATGGAAGTAGTGATGCTGCTTTTCATCGAGGAAGGACAGTTCAGTAAAGGTCGGTCATAAAACTCTGATCACCCAACGGTTGACCCTGACGGCCGACGATTTATCCAATACGGTCTGATGCTGCTCAAGGGGCACTTGCTCTGCGCTACTGCACTAGAAGTGAGAGAGTAATGGCCTACTCCCTTAGCCCTCAAATCAGGTGGGCCCCCTACGGTCAAGTAGGTCAAACTACTGAGTCATTAGCTCCGGGAAGGGTCTCCCAAGATTACCCTAACAACCGTTGTCTCGCGGATGCTAACTTTCGAATCAGAGGCTAGGAACAGGGTCCTCAGATATAACCCTACATCCTCCCCAATACCTTGTGGGTCAGACTTTTGAATGGGCTACCTCAACCAAACCTCTTCTTCGGCTTGGGCAACCGAGAAGTGTCATTCGTTCTTGCAACTTTTCACTCACCGGCCTTCCCCTACACTGCCTCCCATCACAAACGATCCAGTGCGGTCAACTCATCTCCTAATCCTTTAACCAATGTTCCGTGTCTTCGCCGTCGCCCAGAAAAATAAACGAAGGCAAACACCTACTAGCCTCCAAAGATCTGATTCAGGTTCCGTATCCTATGTCAAATTGGGCAACATGCATCTCTTGCTGAAACTCTGCTTTTCCTATCTGTCGATGTATGTTGTGTCTCCGAAACAAGGATACAAGACCTCACTTCGGTGCACCTAGAGCCGCTTAGGACGGGTTCAGATGGTCTGTAATCCACCCTAATGGCGTCCGGTCATCCTGACGCAATGGCTCGTGGTATCTACGGCTGAGTTGCACTCAGCCCCAGGGCTAAAAGCGCTTTTCTGGACCAAATCTCAGTCAACAGCCGTACGGTTATGTGGCTCGATTAAGATCAATGCAGGCCAATGCGGTAAACTGTATCTATTTGTTTAATCAGCATGCGCCCAGATAAACCCAAGTAGGCTTGACAAGCGCTGATTGAGAAACCCAACATCATCCTTGAACAGAGTAGATCGAAGGTCGTCAGGACCGGCAGCACAATTGCGCTTGAGTAGGGAAATAAACTCGGACAATTCTGAGGTTGAAGGCCGCTCCATATTCATGGTCCACTTCTTTGTTGGATTCAAGGATTCCAGATTGGAAGTTGTAGGTGGCCAACTGAGTTACTTCCGAAGTACTGTGCCCAGCGGTCCAAACGTTCTGCTTTGGTGGATTCCAGGGGTCCATTTCTATATCTGATAATTTCGCTAACAAGAGACTTCCGACGACCACTCGAATTAAATGGAACAACTTATCGACGTTTCCATTATTTCTGGCATCTTTCTTTCATTTCTTCGGCCTTTCGGGTCCACTAAGCTCGGTTTGCACAGACGCTCAGTTTCACCTGGCGTCAGATGATGCGTCCGGTGGGGTTGTGGTTACGGCCATGGAGAATCTGTAGTCGGGTCTCCAGCAAAGACATGGTCCCACCAGAGGCCAATGTTTGGTTGAGGTTGGCCGGGTTGTATCGTAAACAAAAGTTCCGTCTATGAGCAGCGTTTCGATATCTTTTCTCATTGGCCGTTTGTATCCGATATCTGACCGCTCGGCAGACATTCGAGGAGCTGGTTCTGATAGTTTCTTTTAATTTCTGAGTCCATTAACTTCTCAGTAGCTGAGGGAAGTTTACGCATTTTGCGAAAACTTTGAAGGCTTCGAACCTGACCTCTGCCTTTCGGCTTCCCTTGTCTAGGCTTGGGTAACCTAGCAGTATCCCAGCCCTCGTGCTTCCTTCGGATAGCATGGCAGCTGGGCACCGAAAAATTTAAAGGCGCAATGAAAAGCAACAGCGTGCAAGTAGGTGGTAGATGTCCACGCTGGTTTCCCAGAAGGGCATGCGGTGATCGACTCTCGCCACCGATACCTGATGGCAATGTGGTCAATTTGGATTTGGGGTTGGTTCTTTGGTGGGCACCACGATTTTAAGTAATTTCCGCTGTTCCGAAAGTTGGTACTGCAAAGGGACAGTCTGTGATCAGCACACATCTGAAGCAGGCGGTCTCCAATGTCTGACTCCAGCCCAAACAACTAACCAACTGGACCGTAGCACTCCTAGTTTACCTACCTGGGCGTTGTGTGACCTACAATCACAATTATACTTGAACTTTTGCCCCGCCCTTCCAATATCCTTCGATGGATCGCGGATTCACAAAAATTCACAGCCGTAAGGTCCAGTCTGTTGGTCGCCGTCACGGTAACTTAGGGCTGTTCCTACGTCGCTAGTGTCCCAGACCGACTCTGAGTCCCCAGATCAGCTCGTATGACATAGACCGCTTAAGAATGACATGGATGTCCGCAGGATCGCCCATCTGAAGTCGAGCATAGCCACATGCCACAATTTTCGTATTCCTTGATTTCGAGTATGTGTTCGATTCGGTCAATCGGTTGGTGCTTTTAAGTACACTTACTCGACAGGGTGTGCCTCAGAAGTTTTTGAACGTAATTCGATCTCTATATTCACATATCTGGGCGCGTGAGAATGTATGGTGAGCTCTCTAAAAGCTTTCCTACAAAAGGTGGTGTTTGACAAGTAGGTCCACTCTCTCCATTCTCCTTCAACTTCCTCATTGATGAGATAATGAGGGAACGCTGGAAGGTCTTCCAAACCCTTGTTTTCAAATTGTTGCTGGGGAGTTGCTGATGTGGAGTACATACGCCCTCATCTTCGAAGACCCAACCGAAGCGCAAGCTCTGTTGAATAGACTGCCCACCATCGTGCCGTCTTTTGGCATGCGCCTTGAAAGTGAAAGTCATGCTCCAGAACATGCAGTCTGGAGGTTCTGGAAAATTTTACTCACCTCGATAGTTGTATTAGCTCTGACAGAAATGTTTACGATGAATTAGGTGCAAGAATCTCAAAGGCTCGAATCAAGTTTGCTAATTTGCGTCACTTGTAGCGTCAAAAAGGTATCTTACTAGAGCTTAAGTGTCACGTGCACCAGGCTACAGTAAGAGCTGTGTTGTTGTATAGGTGCGATGCCTCCGAAGCGTTGCTGATTTCGGATGGCATTGACGGATTAGTAAGGTGATTAAAAAAGGTATTTGGTTGTGCGGCTGGTGTTTCACTTGCAGGAAACATCCGGCACCATCAACTGCATTGACTCGGTCATGTGCTACGCATATCGAAATATCGTTTACGGAGACGAGTATTCTCCGCGCCTATATCGGAATGTCGCAAACGGCGAGATGCGCAACCTATGAATTGTCGGAAGGGCGTGAAAGAGATCACGGAGACCTTGGGTGTTGGTGTTGTACGCCTGCCAAGATGTGGTCTTCCAGACCACGTCTGTGCTTGGCTGGAGACATTGGAAGAAATAGCGACTGATCCATGTCAGTAACGTTCGGGCTGTCAGATTGTCTGATTGGGCGCTTGGAGGTTTAGGCAGCGTAGAGTGCTTGACTGAGCTTTGTGGTTGTACGAGTGAAGCTTCAGTGTCAGCACTAATGCTGCTGTCTCTGATGATGATGATGCTTCGCCGCCGTACAACCATGATTTATTGCACAGCAGCGCGT